ATCCCCTGCTCACTTTCTTTTCCTTCTGGCACTCCTATTCTGTGAATACTAGAGGCCTGGTGCATGAAATTCATGCACTTAGGGGTGGTGTCCCTCAGTCCAGCCTGCACCCTCTCCAATCTGGGACATCCCTCTCACAATCTGGACTGCTGGCTTCCAACTGCTTGCTTGCCTGCCTGCCTGATTGCCCCTAACAGCTTCTGTCTGCCAGCCTGATCACCCCCTAACCACTCCCCTGCCAGCCTGATCGCCCCCAACTGCCCTCCCCTGCCGGCCCGGTCACCCTTAACTGCCCTCCCCTGCAGGCCTGGTCGCCCCTAACAGCCCTCCCCTGCTGGCCGGGTCACCCCTAACTGCCCTCCCCTTCCGGCCATCCTGTGGCTGTGGGCACCGCCATCTTTGAGGGTGGGGTAGTCAATTAGCATATTCCCTCCTTATTGGCTGTGGGCGCTGCTATCTTTGAAGGTAGGGCAGTCAATTTGCATATTCCCTCCTTATTGGCTGTGGGTGCCATCATCTTTGAGGGCGTGGCAGTCAATTCGCATATTCCCTCCTTATTGGCTGTGGGCGCCGCCATCTTTGAGGGCGGGACAGTCAATTAGCATATTCCTTCCTCATAGGCTGTGGGCCCCGCCATCTTTGTGACATTGTGAAGGTCAATTAGCATATTCCCTCTTTATTAGATAGGATTGTTTTGATTCATGTTGTCCCATAGCTCCCTTAAGCTGTCCTCCTGTTTTTTAATTGTTATTTCTTTTTGGTTCTCTGATTGAGTGATATTTTTCTGCCCTATCTTCTAATTCACTGATCCAGTTCTTAGCTTCCCTTAATCTGCTGTGTATTCTTTCCAGTGTGTTCTTTATTAGTGCTATGTCATTCTTTATTTGCGACTGGTCTTTTTTCATAGTTACTATATCTTTTCTCATGCTGTAGAGCTTCTTTGCCATCATTATGCTGAACTCCACATCAGATAAATTTCTTATCTCCATTTTGTTTACCTCTTCTTCTGGAGAATTCTCTTGTTCTTTTATTTCGGGATTGTTTTTTTGTCTTCCCATTTTGTCTGACTGTTTGGGTTTGTGTCTATGTATTAGGTAGATCTGCTATGACCCAATCTCTAGTGCAGGACAATGTCAGATGCTGTTTCTGACTAGCCCTGAGTACCCTGTTTGGAGCTATCACCAATCCACCTCTTATGGCTCCCTCTGCTGGGGCTGGTTGCCTTTGGAAAGTACCAAGATGTGCACCAGGGATTGCTTTTCCTAGCCCAGGGCCAGAAGGATATCAGAGACTCAAAGCCTCCAGAGATCCACCTCTGCCTGCAGTCCAATTTACACTCAGTTTTGCTTAGACTCAGACCATCAACTACTGGGTGGGTCAAGAGAACTTCCAACAGGGTGGGGCAACTGCCTTCCCTTCAAGCAAAAACCACCTGGATATCAAAGGTTCTACAGAAAGATTTCCTCTGTGGGCAGCTGTATTACATTGAAAAGTGACCAGGATCAGAGCCTGGAGAATTGGAGCTGAGTTCCAGGTCTGGTACTTACTGAGTGACCTGAAGCAAGCCAAGTTGTTAATATCCTGGGACTAATGAGAAGTTCAGGGGTAACTCTAGACTCTAGAGCAGCCGTGGGCAAACTATGGCCCGCGGGCCGGATCCGGCCCGTTTGAAATGAGTAAAACTAAAAAAAAAAAAAAAAAAGACTGTACCCTTTTATGTAATGATGTTTACTTTGAATTTATATTAGTTCACACAAACACTCCATCTATGCTTTTGTTCCGGCCCTCCGGTCCAGTTTAAGAACCCATTGTGGCCCTTGAGTCAAAAAGTTTGCCCACCCCTGCTCTAGAGTCTAGAGTAAATGTTAGGCAAAATTGCAAGATAGTAATGTTGGAGATGGAGGTCAGGTACTTATACTAGTATATGCTTAGGAGCTTGGATTTCATATCTCTAATGCAGTCTTTCTCAACGTTGGTACTATTGACATTTTGGACTGAATAATGTGTTTGTGTGTGGGGTGTGTGTGTGTGTGTAAGTGTCTCCTGTAAATTTTAGGATGTTAAGCAGCATCCCTGGTCTCTACCCACTAAATACCAATAGCACTGTCCCAGTTAACAGCAAATAAAAATTTCTACAAACATTACCAGGTGTTGCATGGGGGGCAAAATCATAATGGTTGAGAGAGAACCTTTGCATTAATACAGAGCCATTGAACCTGGGATTAGTAGTTGGCTTATTTGTTTCAAAGAAATTATTTTTCTGATAATGAACTGTGTTTATTGTTACAAATTTTCATACTCTCGTAAATTCTAAAAATAGCGTTTAAAAAGTCATTTAAAATCCCACCAGGCAGAAATAACTGGGTTTTGTTTTTTTTTTAGCATTTGATGAATATTTTCTCAGCATGCTAGAGGATTTGAGGTACTCTTAAGGATTTAAGATCTTGACTTTGTTCTTGAAGTTATAATCTGTTAGCCTCTCACTAGTTGGCAGCAGAGAATTGGGTAGTGGCAAGACTTTTTTTTTTGTTGGCTTTATAATCACTGTGCGCTGGCCCCCAAACTCAGTATTTTTTTGTGTAGTATACTTCTTATAGGTACCACAGTTAGGCTAAATAAACTGGTTTGGTAGGAAAGCATTGGTAATTCATGTTTTTCCATGTAGGTTTTACAAACTAGTTAGTAGTTATTATTAAGGTTCTATTATATATCAGATGTGAATCACTGTATCTGAATTCTCAAAGGCCTCTAGAAGCTAGCAAATGGTACCACTACATTATAGATAAGGAAATTAGTACTCAGGAGGTTAAGGACTTTCTTAAAGTCACCCAGAGAGTAGATAGAAGAGTCTGATCCCTGCCCAAGTCTGTCTGATTCCAGAGCTAGGGATCTTTTCCATACATCACTGCTGCTACATTCATTAACTTTTAGCAGCAAGCACTTGTCAGTCCTTTATGTAAAGGGCAATTAGGTTGCTGAATATTGGACAGATAACTTTGGGTGGATGCACACACACACATGACTAGATTTACTTCAGTCACTCGGCAAATAGAGTAAGTGGTGGACATGCGAAGATCACACAGGGAGTAGCACTGAAGTATGTTTATTGGGGAACATTGTTCTTAGGTGTCACCCCTTCTCCTCCCAGCAGAAGGCAGCATGTATTCATTCATAAGCAATAGAATCATAAAATTGCATAGTTATCTTTTCCAAAAATGTTTGCTAAATTCTTAATATAATATGTTAACAAAAGCTTATTACTTTTCAGTTTGGAAAAAAAAAGATAAATGGTCATAAAAACAGTTTATGCTTATTAATAACATGAAAATTTCAGCAAGGAACTAATTTAGGAAAATGTTAGCCAACAATTAATAGTATTTCTTGTCCTAGCAAATAATGTTTATAAATTAGCTTTTAAAACAGTATTCTAATGATTGTATTTTTTTTCAGAAGATAAAAGAAATTTATTGGAAAATATTGTAATAATTTCTCTGAATCAAATGAAATAGTAAATCCAAATTGCATGGGGCTAATATATAATAATAAACTTCAAAGGATTCTCGAAAGAGTAAATAAGTTGTTAAACCATAAGATACGACTTTTTATTTCATAATTATAATATTTTTTTACCTGAACTAACTTCTGGTTTGTTGAGTGATAAGAGAATTGGATAAAGCCATTTTGTTCTAACTCTGATATTTTTTCCTGCAAACAGAAACACTGTCAGTTGTTGCTGTGGAACTAGAACTAAGGGACTTCTTGAATGTCCTTCCAGAAGATGGCACTGCAGCATTTTTCTTGCCATATCTTCTTTATTGCAGCCAAAAGAAATCATTGACTTGAAGGTATCATTTGGAAATCAGCATAATAGCATGTGAGACTGAATTTAAAAAAATTGAATGCCAAGTAAAATTATAAATAAAGGATTTTCATATTGAATATGTGCAAATGCTTTCATGTTGCTTACCTTACCATGGTATTTCATAATTTATTACCTGAATCCATTTAGATTCCATCTAGAATCTAAAAACTACAAGGTATAAGAATTTCCTCAAAGAAGCCATATATTTTTAGAAGTAGAGATTGACTTTTATTTCAAGGAAAATCAATTTACTGTTGTCAGAGATATGACCATCTTTTTCATCCCAGGACTACAAAGAACCATTTTGCAAGTATGTGTGAAAGAATGTCACTCCATGAGGTCCAAAATTCAGTCTCCTTGATTTTTCCAGTTTTTCTATTGGGTCCCTTTTAAAAACAATTTTCTTTGAGAAAGATGTTAATATTTTCCCACAGTAAAAGATTTCAAACTTTATTATTTTGTTACTTTTAAAACCCACTGCTGTCTTTCTTTCTGAATCACATGAAGTAGAATTTTACAAAGTAACTTTCTTGACTAGCTGTTATCATGATATGCTGAATACATGTTTTTAGCCAAAACCTCATTTCCATTTTTTGTTGATGTGTACTCTTGCTCTTTTAGCTAGAGTGTATGTGAAAATAAAGGAACATATGATGGTATTCACAACTGTGTCATCTTTTTTAACTCATCTCAAACAATTTTGAGTCCAGGTTCAGCTCATTGATAGTGTGCTTTGACTTTGGTTAAGGCTGGGCATAGTGCTACTCACCAGGCATCTGCCTCAACCATATTTTGAAAGTTTTCTGAGGATTTAATCTATACAATTCTTAACTCTGCCTTTTTTCAGTTTCAGATTCATATCCTTTTGACCATTTCTTCAAGGGTTCATCTTTCTATTTTATTTTAAATACTCATTTAACTTTTACTTTTAATTTTTATTTTATTATTTGTTTATTACTTTATATTTTATTTTTAATTATACTTCCCTGTACCCCTATGTCTACTGGTTCCTTAGGAATGATGTCAGCAGCACATTACAGGGATTGATGGGGAATCCAAAGATTGGAAACATATTAATGAATCTTAACACATTGCGTACCGCATAGAAATCTCTTAAGACATACGCCAGGGACCGGACGTTTTTGGGTAAACTGCACGTTATTTAAATCATCATAATGCACTTTAGGTGTTGTTTTTCAATTATAACATTTTTATTTACAAAAACAATTAAACAATTAAAGTTCCTAGTACTTTTTTAATGTATGATACTGCGTAAAACATTTTCTTCTATGAAGAGGGACCAAACAAAATTTATATAAGTATCTAGATTCGCTCCGTGAAAAACGAGAACACTTGTGAGCGGTCCTTAACAGATGGCACGTGAAACACGAGAAAACTCCTGAGCGGTACGAAATGTGTTAATAGTAATCCTTTGAGGTCTATCCAAGGACAATATCTGGTCATAGATTTTTTTTTTAAAAATACAGCTTTATATAGCCCCAGTGATGGTGACACAAATGGCCTATATGAATCAATTAAAATACCTAGTGTGTTAGAGTCAGCCATGTGTAATAGTCTGTTGAGCTTTTCGCATGAAACAGTGTAACACAGTTTCCCCGCAAATGCACAGAAGTGTATGTTTTCAGTCTTCCTTTAATGTTTATAGACATTCCTAAGTAAACATTCTATTCAACACTTTCAATACATTATAATGAATTGGTGGTGGTTGTTTTTTCTTTTCACTTAACACCAATTTATTTCTTTCAGCCAAACTTGGTCTCTATAGAAAAAGAAATTTTAAGACCATTATTAAAAATAGTATATATCATATGATTAAAAAAAATGTACATGGTACTTTAAGTATATTCTAATTTTTTAAATATTAGTTATTTTGTTTTAATTATTCTAGATTCATTTTTATTTTTCTGCTTAATCTATGTTTAAAAACACGTCTTTCATTCCAGTACTGCTTTGTTTAAAAAAAAATTACTTCCCTCCCTCTTCTCCTCCCCCAAGATCCTTATCTACACTAATAAAAGAGAAACATGGTATTTAGCATACGACCGCTACCCTTTTCATTGGCTAATCAGTGAGTATATGCAAATTTACTGTCAGCCAAGATGGCGGCCGGCAGCCAGGCACTGAAGCGAGCATGAGGCTTGCTTGCTGCGGACTCCAACGTTCCCCGCCTCACTTGTCGGCCTCTGAGCTGCAACTCTAAGCAACTATATACTATGTTGCAAATAAGAAGCTAAACAAAACCCCAGAAACCAGCCGGACTGAAAGCCAGCGGACCAAAACTTTGTATCGATGTTTGCAGCAGCGAGGCCTCAGAGCTAAAGCTGGCCCAGAATAAAAAAAAAAGAAAAAGAAAACAAGGAGCGGTTGGAAGCTTCAGTCACTCACTTCCGGAAAACAGCCCTCAGCCCCTCACCCAGACTGGCCAGGCACCCCAGTGGGGACCCCCACCCTGATCCAGGACACCCTTCAGGGCAAACCAGCCGGCCCCCACCCATGCACCAGGCCTCTATCCTATATAGTAAAAGGGTAATATGCCTCCCGGCACCGGGATCAGCGTGACAGGGGGCAGCGCCCAAACCCCCTGATCGCCCTACTCTGTGTGTGACAGGAGGCGGGGCCACAACCTCCCTATCCACCCTGCTCTGTGCCTGATAGGGGGGAGCTCCCCAATCCCCTGATTGCCCTGCGGCTCTGTGTTTGACAGGGTGCAGCACACCAACCCCCTGATCGGCCCTGCTCTGTGTATGACAGGATGCGGCGCCCCAATCCCCCCCCCACACATGGGCCCTGCTCTGTGTGTGACAGGGTAGAGCCATAACCTCTCCATTGGCCCTGCCCCGAGTGTGACAGTTGCGGCGCCCCAACCCCCTGATTGCCCTGCTCTGTGGGTGATAGAGGGTGGCGCCCCAACCCCCCTCCACAGGCCTTGCTCTGTGTGTGACAGGGTAGAGCCATAACCTCCCCATTTGCCCTGCCCTGAGTGTGACAGGGTGCAGCGCCCCAACCCCCTGATTCGCCTGCTCTGTGTGTGACAGAGGGCGGTGCCCCCACTTCCCTATTGGCCCTGCTCTGTGCATGACAGGGGGGAGCTCCCCACCCCCTGATTGACCCTGCTCTGTAAGTGACAAGGTATGGACCCTCAACCCTCCTGATGGGCCCTGCTCTGTGAGTGACAGGGGGCAGCGCCCCAACCCCCTGATCGGCCCTGCTCTGTGCGTGACAGGGGGTGGTGCCGCACCTCCCCATTGACCCTGCCTTGAGTGTGACAGGGGGCGGTGCCCCAACCCCCCAATCGGCCCTACCCTGAGCGTGACTGAGGGTGGCATTGCAACCTCCCGATCTGCCCTGCTCTGTGCATGACAGGGCGGGGCCCCAACTCCCAATCGGTCCTGCTCTGAGCCCAACCAGGGGCTGCACCTAGGGATTGGGCCTGCCCTCTGCCACCCCGGGAGCAGGCCTAAGCCAGCAGGTTGTTATCTCCCGAGGGGTCCCAGACTGCGAGAGGGCACAGGCTGGGCTGGGGGACCCCCCTCCCCCCGCCCCCCGAGTGCACAAATTTTTGTGCACTGGGCCTCTAGTCTTATCTAATAAAGAGGGAATATGCTGATTGACTGCTCTGCCCTCAAAGATGGCAGCGCCCACAGCCAATAAGGAGTGAATATGCTAACTGACTGCCCCGCCCTCAAAGATGGCGGTGCCTACAGCCACAAGATGGTGGTGCCCAGTCCCCTCAGCCCCGCCGGGGGCGGGCAGGCGCGCGGCAAGGCCCCGGCTGCTTCTCGCACCTGCCTCCAGAGTCCCCCAGTCCCCTCAGCCGCCCAGCCACCCAGGGCTGGCCCAAGGCGCAGGCAAGCCTCAGGTGGTAGCTGCCCAGCTGCCCAGGGCTGCCTGAGGCAGTGGTAATCAGGCCCGGCTGAGGCTTGCTCTGCTGGCAGTGGCAGCACCAGAGGTGTGATGGGGCGTTGCCTTCTCCTGATTGCCGGTTCGCCTCCCGCCCCTGAGGGTTCCCAGACTGTGAGAGGGGGCTGGCCGGGCTGAAGGACCCCCCTCCAATGCATGAATTTTCATGCACCGGGCCTCTAGTTGATTATAAAGGGAAAATAGTAACTTTATAATGGAGAAACCTGGCTGATACTACCTTAATTAAACACTCAAACATAACCCAGTAAGGGAACAAATCAACATCTTCTGCCTCTTGACATGTGTACTGAGAGAAACAATATCACTTCTGTGAGAGTCCGGCAAAGAAATGCCTAATCTGAATCTAATTGTGAGGAAACATTAGGCAAATCCAAAATGAAGGACATGCTACAAAGGGATGGCCTTGCATTCTTTAAAAATGTCCCAGTTGCAAAAGAGAAAGACTGAGGGACCTGTTTCAGACTGAGGGTGACTGAGGATGTGCCAGCTGGATGCGACACATGAGCAGGGTTTTCATTTTTTAGGAAGAATATGAGTAAAGCAGTTGGGGAAATTAGAATAGGGTCTGTAGTTTGGGATCACTTTTAAGTTCCTG